GCTCCATGTATCGGCGAATAGCCTCGGGTCCTTCTAGGGGGAGGACAGTTGGGTCTTCGCGAGGGATCTGATGAGAGGATTCTCGATGGGGTCGAGTGTCGTCGTTATCCCAAGCGTTAGGAGGGCTAAATCGCTCGTTAGCTCTAGAGCCACCTTGAGGGACGCGACCTGGGGGGTGAGCTGCAGGATCAGCTTCCGCCCTTGGGTTATCTCGATTAGGGGTTACATTCCCAGTCCGATAAGCCGAAGCATATGTTCTGCCCCCAGAAGGAAAGGATATTCCTTCTCCTGACCTGAAAACAGGTGGGGAGGGGGCAAGCGTGTGCTCTGGTCAGTAACCTGATCGAGCATAGAGCTGGTTGTCGCTACGTTACTTCCCATAGCGTTAGATACAGGTGGGTTAAATGCGGGAGCTGTTCCAGCATAGGGTGTCTGGAGAACAGGTTCCTGCCTATCTGGAGCAGTGCTCTTCAAATCGTTGATGCTGAGCAGTTAGCTGTTGCAACGTGCGCTCATTCTCTTGATTGATTCGGAGCGGGTTGACGCTGAGGGTTCTCGGGGGCTGTTACCCCGGAGCTGGTTTTCACTGGAGAACCTTGGGTTAGTTATTCCAGTGGTAGTCTTATCGGGTTGAGCATCAATCGAAGGCCGAAAGCTGTTGCTCTGAGCGGTGATCAGTGCATTGAAGCTCCGGGATCAGTGCGTTGGAGCCTCCGTTGTTTGGTGAGCCATAGCTCTGGGAAGGTATCGTATCAGATACCTGTCACGTAACATACCAGGTTATGGTCAGGTATCGTATCCAAAGGTCATGTCTTCAATTACAGAAGACCTTTGGATAAGAGATAACAGATCTCAAGACCTTTGGATAAGAGGTCTCGGGACCTTTTGGATAAGAGGTCTCGGGACCTTTCGATAAGAGGTCTCGTGACCTTCAAATAAGAGGTCTCGGGACCTTTCGATAAGAGGTCTCGAGACCTTTCGATAACAGGTCTCGTGACATTCGGATAAGAGGTCTCGGGATCTTTAGACATGTCTGGTATCGCACCAGGTACCTGTCCGATATCGTACCAGGCTCCGATTCGGTTGGGATCTCCCAAAAGTCTCTTGTTCAGATTCGCGGGGACCTGAGGCTGAGGTCTCATAGGAGCCTCATGTTCAGCTTCGCGGAGACCTGAGGCTGAGGTCTCATAGGAACCTTTCGCTCAGATTCGCGGGGACCTGAGGTTGAGGTCTCATAGGAGCCTCTTGCTCTGGTTCACTGGAAACCTGAGGTTGGATCTCAT